TCAAAACACTTCTTCATACATGAACGTGCATGCAAATAAATCGAAATCAAATGGAATATATATATATATATATATATATATATATATATAAAAAAAAAAGAGAGCACTCGAGGCTACTCACCGTTATCCTCCCCAAGAATGAGTGTGAAGAGCCCCCGAAGGCCAAAAAGATTAAGGAAGTACCTAATAAAGGGGATGCACAAAATTAGAGTGTGTGAGGAAACGGGAGTGGCCGAATGGGAGAAAAAAAATCGGTCGATCAGTAAATATTGTGCATGTGCAACACACTGCCACTCTGATACAAAAAAAGCTCTACCCTTTGCTGGATGTAAGTACACACCCAACCATAATACACTTTGACGAATTACACAAACAATAATTCGACAATTCGAATAATGCAAGAGCTGCAAGAGCACCAAGAGGGGCTGCTGACGAAGCTGCATCCACTGTGCTCAGGTCTATGCCGTTCTGCACCTCTGGAACGGAGGGCAGCAGCAAGCCTCACTGTACACACACATGTTCAAACACCAGTCACACGCACCACGAGCGGCTGCTGACGAAGCTGACATCCACTGTGCTCAGGTCTATCTATGCCGCCCTGAACCTCACACTCTCCATGTACACACATTCAAAAAAGTAGAATCACACTGCTGCAGCGGTCACACGCACCACGAGCGGCTGCTGACAAAGCTGACGTCCACTGTGCTGAGATCAATGCCGTTCTGCAGCATGCCACGGAACTTTTGGGTCAAGGGGAAGGGCACCTTGGCTGTGGGGGAGGGGGGGGTGGGGGTGGGCAAGGAGAGACAGGGGGGACAGGGCAACGATACAGAGAATACTTGTGAGCTGGTCCAAAAGCTGACGTCCACTGTGCTCAGGCCTATGCGTTCTGCAGCATACCCCGGAACTTTTGGGTCAAGGGGAAGGGCACCTTGGCTGTGGGAAAAGCAAGGAGACAGGGACAGGAGGGATGATGCCGAAACGTCACTTTCAGGGTGAAAGTCACTTCTGATGCGGTTCAGAAGCTCACGAATTTCAAAACTGGCCACAGTGCTCAGATCTATGCCATTCTGCAGCATGCCCGGAACTTCTGAGTCAAAGGGAAGGACACCTTGGCTGGGCTGGGAGGAGGGGCCGCAAGGAGAGAAGGACAGGGGGAATGATACAGAGAATACTTGTGAGCTGGTTCATAAGCCGACGTCCACTGTGCTCAGGTAAATGCCGACAAACTTTTGGGTCAAGGGGAAGGGCACCTTGGCTACGGGGGAGACGCAAGGGGAGAGGGAGAGAACGGATAGGTAAAGAGATGTTGACAAGGGGAAGCGGTAGGGTATGGATCTCTACGCCACCCTGCACCACCCTGCACCCCCCTGCACCCCCCTGCACCCCCCTGCACCACCCTCCACTCCACGTCCCAGTACCACCCTGCACCACGTACCCGCAACAAATCCGGAAAAGAAGAAGTTGACCCAAGCGAAGGTGAGAGACTGAGTGGGGGGGTGGGGAGGAGGTCAGATTGGAAAGGGGGGTGGGAGGGGGATATCAGGCTGAGAATTTTGAGGAAACAATGAGGGAATTTAGGGGAAAGTGGGAGACTGAAAAGTGTTTGGGATGGGAGGAGGTCGGATGGGAGGCGGGGGTTTGCTTGGCAGTGAGAGGAAAAGAAGGAAAAAAGCGGCAATGTGGGGGACTGAGGTGTGGGAGGGAGGGAGGGAGGGAGGGAGGGAGGGAGGGAGGGAGGGAGGGAGGGAGGGAGGGAGGGGAGGAGGTTCTCCTTCATTCTCTCCATGGCCACATTGGGGTCTGTGCAATCTATCCGTACCTAAGGATCCGTAGGCACGGATGATAGGATGATGTAGACAGGTTCTCCTTCATCCTATCCATGCCCACGTTGGGGTCTGTGAACATGGCTGCCTGGGGGTCGTAGCATAACTGAATACATACACCACGTACCCGTTATAGAGCATTGCAATCTCACCTGCGGGATGATTATGGAGAGGTTCTTCTTCATCATATCCATGGCCACGTTTGGGTCGGAGAACATGGCGTGGGTGGGCAGTATTCCTGACTTCATACACTACGTACTCATTATAGAGGCTTGCTATGTCACCTGGGGAATGATCATGGAGAGGTTCCTCTTCATCATATCCATGGCCACGTTGGGATCTGAGAACATGGCCGCCTGGGGCGGATGGAGGGAGCACCATACCTGCTTCTCTCATGTACTCGTTATAGAGTCTTGTAAAGTGTCCGTACCTGCGGGATGATCATGGACAGATTCTTCTTCATCATATCCATGGCCACGTTGGGGTCTGAGAACATGGCCGCCTGGGGATTGCCGGCCTGCCCCTTGGGCACATGCAGCAGCCCGTTCTCCTGTGAGTTACACATCCACGACACAGCACACAGCACACAACACACAACACACATGGGCACATGGTGGTGTCAAGGGGAGGAGACGGGATCGAGAATCGAGGGAGGCGGAACATTTTTGAGGCGCCTCAAGGGACGGGAGCGAGAAGCGAGGGAGGCGGAACATGGTGACCTGAGGGTTGCCATCCTGCCCTGCCCCTTTGGACCGTGCAGCAGCCCAGTCTCATGCCAGACACTTGCAGTGCAGCACACACAACATGTGGCGCTTAGGTGTGCAGCTGCAATCCACCTCTGACACGTGGCGCCTCAACTCCTGTTCTCTCCTCCTCCTCACGTCCCTCCGATACAGTCACGTTCGTTGCAAACCACATGGCGCATCTGTTTAAAGCTGCAAGCCAGCACTGACACGTGTCAGCCCCTATCTCTCTCCTTCACCTCTGTACAGTCACACGCATACAGCCTCTCAGACAGTCATACACACCCATACAGTCACATCCATACAGTCACACCCATACGATCACCCCCATACAGTCACACTCACAGTCACAAACAACCATGCAATCACCCCCATACAGTCACACCCATCCAATCACACACATAGACACACCCATAGTCACACCCATACAGTCACACCTCGTTGCAGAACAGGTGGCGCCGCTGTGCAAAGCTGCGCGAGGGGATGAAGCCTCCCGCTCCCCTCAAGTTGCGCGCGCGAATCACCAGCTGCCTGGCAGGGGGTTGTGGGGTTGGGGGGATGGACGGAGGGGGTTAGGGTGGGTGGGGGAAAAGGTCAGAGAGGGGTGGGAGGAAGGTGAGGAGGGGGGAAGGGAAGGGCGGGAAAGAGTGGGTGAGGGAAGAGAGGATGGGGGATGGGGAAAGAGGAAGAAAAGTTACTATTTACTCCACGCTAGAACAAGAGCCGAATCACAGTACGATGGCACGGGACACGCCTCAAGATACGGTTAACATCTCGCGTATAGTACCATACCGTAGCGCACAGTATAGTGCTATACAGTCCAATACAGTCGCGCGCGACTCACCCCTCCTTGATCGCCTTGACGTCGATCTTCGCATCGGATCGCATGAGCTTCGCGTCCCTCTCACCCCCCCTCTCACCCCACCTCTCACTCCCACTCCCTCCCCACTCCCCCTCTCACCCTTCCTTGATCGCCTTGACGTCGATCTTCGCATCGGATCGCATGAGCTTCGCGACAAAGTGTCGCAGCACGCCGACGAGGAACATCACCACCGTCAGCGGCACCAGCACTTCAAGCAACAGCTCATGTTTGTATTCCCCGTCGCAAAGGACTCACTTCCTCCTCTCCCCGCTCCTCTTACCCCTCCTCTCACCCCCCTGAGCGACTCACCCCCCTGAGCGACTCACCCCCCTGAGCAACTCACCCCCCTAGGAGGTCTGAGTACAAGTCAGTCACTTTATCTATTCTAGAGCGACTCACCCCTCCTTGATTGCCTTCACGTCGACCTTCGTATCGGATCGCATGAGCTTCGCGACAAAGTGTCGCAGCACGCCGATGAGGATCATCACCACCGTCAGCGGCACCAGCACCCACTCGCGAATCTGCGGATCTAGCACGAGATTCCCCATCCTCGTTATAGTGTCACCACTTCAAGAACAGTGCAGATGATTCCGCCCGTCGTTACCAATTGCGAGGTCTAATTCTCTCTTCGCCTCAGCGAACAAGACCGCCTAACTCCTTAGAGACTGCTGGTTTCTGCTCCCTAATCCGACCTAAATCCTACGAGCTTTGGTTCAGGCTGACTGAGTTGGCTTGGGTTCGAGATAAGCAGGTGTAAAAACGAATGTTACGGCTCGCTTTCTTTACAAAACGAGATGTACTACAAAATGTAAGGACTAATGCAGTAATGTGGAGACCACACTATTGTGAATTTTGAAGACTCGGAGCAATCCCTTTACGAGATGTTTCGATACATTTGCAGTTTTTTTGTAACAGCGTTTGTAGCTGAAATAACTTCAGCGCCCTTCAGAACAGAACCCAGTTCAACGGAACCCATCTCGTACGCGTTACATCCACAGTCAAGATCAGGCCTGTCGAAGTTTCTGGGGCTCGTACTTGCGCTCCCCAGCTCCTCCGCATATGACCCTTGGTTGGGTGTAGGTGTGCGTTTTGGCGCCCTTAACGGTCACGGGCGCACCCCAAAGTGAAAACTTGAAATCCGGGCACATTTGAAGTTTGCACTTACACTGTATTTTACTGTGATACGTGCAGTTTTCAACTTATATTAGATGTCAGTCATACCTAATACTACACATGTCTTCAATAGTTGCCTGCAATGTTCTACTTTTCACTAACTACAGATTTAGCATGCAGATTTAACTACCCTACTCTACCCAAACATGCAATGCAAGCCTATTTGGCAGGCTTCCTCCCCTTCTCCTCAAACAAGGCATAGGCCGCTGCCCAGTCCACTGAGTAGTCTAGCATCTTCACCGTCATCAGCTCCCCCAGCCTAACATCAGTAAGAGCAACACGATCCCACGACTTAATAATGTTTTGGCGGGAGAAGCCCCTCTCACACTCAACAGTGCTGAAGGGCAACACAGAGACTGCACGCCAGAGGGAGACTATGGTGGGATAGTCATCCTTCTAGTCTGCCGTGCGCAGCATGTTGGTGAGAGCCTGATGGAAGCTCTGCTTCTTGAACTTCTTCTCCATGGTGGCTGTGAAGAGGCGCATCTGCGGCTCTATGTTAGCAAGAGCGACTCCTGCCAAGGACATATACAACAAGGTTAGAACATGCCAATGTTGGAGAAAACCATATTCAAGGTTAGAACATAAACAAGGTTAGAACCTTTACAAGGTTCCTACTCTACCCCTCTCGTCTTACCAGGTAGCTTGTTCTTGGACATGTCAAGGAGCTCGGAGAGATGGAGCTTCACCCTCGCGTCCTGCTCTCCTGCACGGTCGGGAAACTTATCAGGGGAGAAAAAACCAACACCATCGAGATGACGCAGATCCGCCATCCTCTTCCCCAGCGCCTTAATCAGGCGCTGAGCGAAACGCCTCGCCAGGTCCACGCAGGCCTCCAAGTCGCATCCCCCCCCAGGGTTTTCAGGGTCGATGATGTCCTCGTGAAGCTCGATCTCGGCTTTTGCATGCTTGCCATTCTCGTCCACTCCCTTGAGCTCCATCTTGCGCTTGTCCTTGCTGCCGTGTGCAGCAAGGAACTTGTTCAGGCGAGAGGTGTTCGGCCCGTTGGATGCGCCGGGCTCGACGTAGTACTGCGACAGCTTGGTCTTCACCTTGTCAACATGGTTCTTCACCTCTGTAATGTCGACCTGAAAGCAAACAGAGCCCGAAAAAATTAGAGCAAAGCACACAAGTCAAGAAGTGACAAGGCCATGCTCATCTGCACCTTACCGTCTGCTTCTGGAAGGACAGATTGAGTCCGTTGAGTAGCGCCAGCACGTCAGCCAGGAGATACAGCATGTAGTGGAACTTGAAGCTGGTGGCGAGTTTCTCCGTCTCGCCCTTCTCCTTCGTCCACATCCACATCAGCACCGGCAGCACGTCACAGAAGCGACTCACAGCATCCCCGCGAGACAACCAACGGACGGTGCAGAAGCCTTGCACCTCCAGGTGCGTCTGCAGAATGACGTCCTGGAGATGCATGTAGGTCTTGTGATTGGTCAATGAACGCCCGAGACGCTCTGCAGTCTGGCGTATCATCTGATCTACGACGTCGAACTCCTTGAAGCTCTTTGCGGCATCCTTGGCAGCCAATGCCTCGTTGCACAAGCACAAGACGTGCGTGAGTATGGTTGGGGAGGGGACAGGTGTACAATACGATCGGAAGCAGTGCAGTGCAACCTTACCGATGCGCCACGCAGTGAATCGCCACCAGCCACGGGCAACGTTTCCAAAGCATGGCGACAACGCCGTTCTTCGCGCTAGTCATCACGGATGCACCATCCGTTGACACCCCGACAAGCTTGTCCAGCGACATGTCCTTCGACCACAAACACTTCACGATCGTGTCGTGCAGTGCTGCGGCGTCGCAACGTTCGAGCGACACGAGAGCAAGAAACTGGGACACCACGGCCTCGCCTCTCTCAAACGTGACATACACGATGACATGCTTTCCACGCGCGTGATCTGTGGATTCATCGAAGGAGAGGCTGTAACAGGCCGACTCTTTGATGTCCTCGAGCTGCTTGGCCACCAAATGCTCCGCCATAGCCTCTGCGAACTCGCCAAAGGCGTATCTGCAATGAGCACCGAATGAAAATGTGAGTAAGTTATCCACAATAGAACAGCAGAAGAAGTAGAACAAAGCAGAAGCATACGAACAGAAGCAAAAGCAGGAAATCAGGAGCAGAAACAGAGGCTAACAAGCACGTACCGCGAGTAATAACGACCGTACGATTCGTCGGTCATCATGTCGGGGCATCCTTGCTCCGCCATGAACCGCACCAGCATGGGGTAGAGCGCGATAGGTGCATCGTTCCGCGCAATCCAGTGAGCTCCTTGCATGCATTTGACGACCCTTGCCATGACAGGATCGTTGCTGAGCATATTCAAGAGGCTGCGCTGCCTCACCTCCGTGCCTTCAGAGAGTCGTTCAGCTTCCATGGCCGCCAGGTGCACCTTGGACTGGTTATGGTTGCGGCACGCCGACTTCTGAAAATCCCTTGCACCGACTCAAGCACCGTCAAAGGGAGACTTGGTGTTAGGAGCAAACTCACAGCAGACGGAACACTTCATACCATACTGGCGCTCATATTTGTGGTACTTCAAGCTCAGCCACGAGTACGTCTGCTTCCACGACGTGCTGAAGCGACGTGCAAGACTCCTCTCCGCCTCAGGGATCTCGGTGTCCGGGGGTACTTCTGCATCCTTTGCGATCGCGTTGTCTTGCGCCTCCAACTCCTCAGCAGTGGGTGGTGGCGGTACGCATCGTGCGCGCTTTCGCGTGTCTGGTGGCGGACTAGCGAAGCTTAGGTGAACCTGATGATAACGGGCTGCAGACCTCGGGGTAGACTGTGACGATGAGGCTTGCTGGGCGAGGCGCGGGTCCAAGACTGAGATTGCTACGTCTAGCATGTCTTCAGCATCCGTGGCTACGTAGGGCTCGGTCTCGGTTGTAGTATGAGAATAAGAGAAGTTCGTCGTGGGCAAAACTGGAGGAGGGGTTTCACCCTCGCTATGGTCCATGGTAGGAGATTGTGGCTGACGAAGGGAACGTGTTAGCTAGCCAATATATAAACCTCGCGTGTGTGAGCAAGGCGACGCGAGCTTTACTCGGCAGAGTTGGTGGGTGGAGGAGAAGTGCCATAGAACGGCACGAACGAAGGTGGAGAGCAGAGAGCTTGGGTGGGCGGTACCGTGGAGGTGGTCAGACGCTGGAGAAGAGAAAACATGGCACGAACAAAAGAGGAGAGGAGTGGGAGGTTGGGTGGGTGGGGTGGTGGTGGTGTATGGAATGCATGGTGGTGGAGAGGAATCGTGGCATGCACGAACGAAGGTGGTGAGAGAGCTCCTACGCTAGAGTGCTTCACTTCCTTTGACGTGCTTAGGAGTTCTCTGTGGCCAATAAACTTAGCCAGATTCACCCAACCTAATCCTATGTGTCACAGCTGTAAACTGCGGCCAGCTCGTATTGGACGCTAAGGGAATGTTCGGGTGCTCCAAGGCTAACTGAGACACACTACACACACACACACACACGAAATTGGCTAGAAAACGCTAAGGGAAAAATCCCCTAAGCGCGCTCTAGTGCAGGCTAAGGAGAAAGGGGGGGGGGGGGGGGGGGGGTTCGGACACCCTGGGTGGGGGGGGTCCTACGAGCGGAAACCAAAACTTATATAGGGGGGAAGGCCTGGTTTCGTCCCTTAACGCATCCGGGGAAGGGTCGAACGAAGCACTTAGTGGCACGGGTGGGGTACGAATTCAGAACTTGCCGCATTGGAGCTGGAGCGAAACTAGCCCTTAATGTTCAGGGCATTAAGGGCATATGCCCTTGAATCAACAGGCCTGGTCAAGATCCGCTTCAAGCCCGAGGCAGTAGCCCCTGTGTAGGGGCCGCCGGCGGCGGCGGACCTACGGCGTCGGCGGACCCGATCGTGTGGATCTTGATCGCGTTTAGGAATGGACGGCTCAGGACATCCCACGATGCAGACTAAGATAGCATGGATACACTGTACGCAGTTTCTGTACAGTATACCGTACTGTATAGTGCCGCTGTAGTACAGTCCGCAGTCAAGTTCCATTGCCATCACAAATCCTCTCCTGGATTTTCACAGTGTCAAGCCAAGGACCTACCAGCCAAAGCTACTAAGCAGCGCGCATTCGCAACTGGAAATGTGATTTGAGCTCAGATTCTGCTTTTGAGTCGACTCAAAAGCGCATTCGCATTTGGAAATGTGATTCGAGCTCAGATTCTGCTTTTGAGTCGACTCAAAAGCGCATTCGCAACTAGAAATGTGATTCGAGCTCAGATTCTGCTTTTGAGTCGACTCAAAAGCGCATTCGCAACTGGAAATGTGATTCGAGCTCAGATTCTCCTTTTGAGTCGACTCAAAAGCGCATTCGCAACTGGAAATGTGATTCGAGCTCAGATTCTGCTTTTGAGTCGACTCAAAAGCGCATTCGCAACTGGAAATGTGATTCGAGCTCAGATTCTGCTTTTGAGTCGACTCAAAAGCGCATTCGTAACTGGAAATGTGATTCGAGCTCAGATTCTGCTTTTGAGTCGACTCAAAAGCGCATTCGCAACTGGAAATGTGATTCGAGCTCAGATTCTGATTTCGAGTCGACTCAAAAGCGCATTCGCAACTAGAAATGTGATTCGAGCTCAGATTCTGCTTTTGAGTCGACTCAAAAGCGCATTCGCAACTGGAAATGTGATTCGAGCTCAGATTCTGCTTTTGAGTCGACTCAAAAGCGCATTCGCAACTGGAAATGTTATTCGAGCTTAGATTCTGCTTTTGAGTCGACTCAAAAGCGCATTCGCAACTGGAAATGTGATTCGAGCTCAGATTCTGCTTTTGAGTCGACTCAAAAGCGCATTCGCAACTGGAAATGTGATTCGAGCTCAGATTATGCTTTTGAGTCGACTCAAAAGCGCATTCGCATATGGAAATGTTATTCAAGCTTGGATTCTGCTTTTGAGTCGACTCAAAAGCGCATTCGCAACTGGAAATGTGATTCGAGCTTAGATTGTGCTTTTGAGTCGACTCAAAAGCGCATTCGCAACTGGAAATGTGATTCGAGCTCAGATTCTGCTTTTGAGTCGACTCAAAAGCGCATTCGCAACTGGAAATGTGATTCGAGCTCAGATTCTGCTTTTGAGTCGACTCAAAAGCGCATTCGCATCTGGAAATGTTATTCGAGCTTAGATTCTGCTTTTGAGTCGACTCAAAAGCGCATTCGCATCTGGAAATGTGATTGGAGCTCAGATTCTGCTTTTGAGTCGACTAAAATGATGAGATAAAGGCGAGGAATGAGTGCACTATGAAATGGAACAAGTACAAGTACCAACCCTAATTGGGTTGTACCCCCTATGGGCTACCCCACTAAAGCCTAAATATATGCATCAGTAATATAATCATCTGACACACCCCCATAGGCAAAGTGGGGGAGAGCAAGGGGTGTCAGAGGTCCACTGGTGATCCCCGATCGATCCTAGGGAAGGGTTACAGGCACATTTGCCTGGGGGGTTATGGGCGCACTGACCCGCTACTGAAACAAGCCCTTTTATCCCAATGGTCTAGTGGTTGGGATTCTGAGATGGTATCCAGAGCGAAGGTCTCGGGTTCGAATCCCGGTGTATGCACTTCGGGCATCCCAGTGCGGGGGGGTGTCAGAGGTCCACTGGTGATCCCCGATCGATCCTAGGGAAGGGTTACAGGCACATTTGCCTGGGGGGTTATGGGCGCACTGACCCGCTACTGAAACAAGCCCTTTTATCCCAATGGTCTAGTGGTTGGGATTCTGAGATGGTACAGAGCACGTAACGCTCCTGGACCCCTGCTTCCGCTGCTACTAAGTGTTCTGCACGCCCCGTGGTGTGCCCTTCTTAAGCGGCCCCGCCGCCCTACTGTCGCGGCCCCGCCGCCCTGCTTTTTTTTTCGGCCCCGCCGCCCTACTGTCGCGGCCCTGCCGCCCTACTATCGCGGCCCTGCTGCTCTACTGTCGCGGCCCCGCCGCCCTTCTTAAGCGGCCCCGTCGCCCTACTGTCGCGGCCTCGCCGCCTCTCTGCTGTCGCGGCCCCGCCGCCCTCCTGTCGCGGCCTCGGCGCCCTGCTTTAGCGGCCTTGCCGCACGTCCCGGCCCGTTGCCGCCCGTACGACGCGCCGCCGTCCGCTGCGGCCCCGTCGCCGCCCGTACCGGCCCGTCGCCGCCCGTGCGGTACCCGCCACAGGCCCCGATGCCACCTACGGCCCCGCCCTCTTGCGGCCCCGACCCCGCCCCGGGCATGCCCTGTCGCCAGCGGCGGCATACCGGGGGCACGTGCACCGCCCCCCCCCATTTTCCCGTCACACGTCGCGGCTCCTTCGGGGGCCGCACGCGGCCCCCTCAGGTCGCCTCGACAGGTGACGGGAGGGGCGACCTGGAAGGGGGGGGCAGGCGTCGCCCCCTCTGCCGCCTGCTTTGGCGCCCGGGGAGGCCGTGTGTCGGCCCCCCCCCTCCCTCCCCCCCCCTCTTCTCCTCCTCCTGTTGTTCCCTCTGCTGCAGCTGCCGCTGGGGGGGAGGGTGTGAGAGTGTGGGGGAGCCCGGGGAGGGACTGGGGGTGGCGGGTGTGGGGGTGATGGGTGATGTCTGGTCCCCTGGCCCTACGGCCCCATTCTCCTCCGTTTGCCCCCCCCCCCCCCCCCCCCTCCTCTGCTGCTCCTGCAACAGTGTGAGGGGGATGGGGAGGGGGAGGGGGAGGGTGAGGGGACCAGAGCCTACCACCTCCTCTCCTCTCTTTCCCTCTCTCTCTCCTCTCTCCCTTCTGTTTTCTGGTTTCTGCACTGGTTGTCACTGCTCCTGCATACTGCTGCTACTTCAACTGCACTCTGCTTGGTGTACCCCATTATGGGGGCGTTGACTGCATATTCTTCCCTACAGGCACTTATGGGGGCGTGTCAAGAATAATATATATTTCTATATATTGTTTTGTAACTGCCTGTAGTGTAGACTACTGTAGTTATATAATGTTCTGTTTGGTGGTGCACCTTTCCTTCTTGCCTATTTGTACTCTTCGCTCTATAGTGAAACCCCTCACTTTCTCTCTCAACTTTCTCGACTTACCAAAACTCACTCGAACTCAACTAGCTATGGCTCCTTAGCCAAGCTAAGACTTTGATAAGGGGTCACAAGACCAGTCAAGCAAAGCAAAGCAAAGCAAAGCAAGCTCAGGGTGGATCTCAAGGATACCACACAAATTCCGAGCACAAGGTCAAGGCCACAAGGCCAGTTCACATGCAGCAGAGCATATATATATAACAGTGCTAAACAAGCAAGAGGAAGGATATATATATGCAGCAGTACAAGCAAGGTCAAGAGGTAAGCAAGTGAGGCCCCGTGGGCACAAGGCCTAGCAGAGTGCAAAAGCGCTGATGGTCACGAGGCGGAAGTGCCTTGGTGAACACATCAGCAGTGTTGGCCTCAGTGGCCACGAAACGCAGGCGAAGCTGACCACGCTGCTGCAGCTCTCGAGCAAGGAAGTAGCATAAAGCAATGTGCTTCGTCCTGTGCTCCAGTCTGTGCTCCTCACACAAGGCAATGGTTGCCTTGTTGTCGACGTACAGCACTGGAGGAGAACGAGGCCGCTCTCCAAGGTCAGTCAGCAGGTAGGTGAGCCAGCGAAGCTCCTGGGCAGCCATGGCCGTGGCGTAGATCTTAGCCTCACAGGTGGAGCTGAGAACCAAAGAAGAGCGAGTAGAGCGCCAAGAGACAGAGCCAGAGCCAAGACTGAAGGTGTAACCCTGAGACGACCTCTGAGTAGCCTGGTCGTCAGCCCAAGAAGCGTCTAAGTGCCCAGTGAGCACAGGCCGCTCACGCCCTCCAAGCACTAGCCCCATGCCCGACGTACTGCACAAGTAGCGCAACACCCTCTTAGCTGCATCCATGTGCTCCTTCCGGTGACGGCTGGGAGCAACATAGCGTGCTAAGATGCTGAGAGGGTATGCGAGGTCAGGTCGAGTGCAAGTCATCAGGTACATGAGGCAG